TTATTATATAGAATAAGTATATTATCTAATAATATAGTTTTTTTTCATTATTTCTGTTACCTGTTACTGTATTTATCATATCCTTCGAGACAGTTTAGATTTAAGTAAAATATGTCAATCAATTCGTATTCTTAATAATATGCAATTTGTTATCGTATAAACCATTAAGACACTCGTGAGACTTCAGGGTAATACCCTATTTTTTGGAACATTTTTCTCACAGTACACGAATTAGCTCCTTCCTGGGTGATATATTTCTACTTTTTGATTAACAAACAGTAAAAATTATGTAATAATAAGTCTACAGCTGTATGGATGCAATGAAAATCCATGATATTATCAAGTAAYATTTTCTCGGTTTCAGATTATGACGACGATTTATGAAAGCAAAATACCATGTGAATATTCAAAGACACTCATCCCGGTGTTTCAGAGCGAAGTCATTGACAACCAAAAATGGTATGACAATGGTGGTCCAGAAGCGATTTGGGAGTACATAAATCCTTTGTCGAAAACAGTGCCGCTCAATCCATCGGAGCAGAACACGACTCCACAGAGCACGTCGGAAGACGATTCTAATGCTTCGTCGAGACTGCATAACTATGCAATAATTGTGCAGATTTTAGCRCTGTCTGTGTCAGTTAAACTATTTGTAAACATAATCTAAGTATTTCCTAATATGTGTATGATATAATAAGTTTTTTTTTACGATAAATATGTGAATATGTCACACTTTTCGTTAATTTAATTTTATGTTCAGATCGTAGCGTGAATGATAAAATTGGTTTTAAAATATCTTGCTAATTTTGATTTTTAATGATACWATAAATATGATAACGTTTTCAAATTTAAAAAATGTTATATAGCAATTATAACCATTTTATTAGAGCAGTAATTTTTTGATTTAAAATTAGCGTATTCAAGATGGAGGTGAAAAATACCTATGGAACTAGTACAAAAAAAAAKTTTTTATCAATAACAATAACAAAAATTTTTTGTTTAAAGAACCAAACAAGTATAATTCAAAATCTTAAATTATTTCTATGAACAATTCAACTGCCTTTGTTCAAAACTGATAATTTAATTTGTATAAAACATGATATGTCCACATTTAAGTATTTTATATTTAAATATATATATTAATATATATCTAAGTATTTTTACTCACTGATTAGTTTTATGTGCCACTTAAATTTGTTAAAATATCGAATAAATATACTTTAACAAATTACAAGTTCTACTATGGATTCTTTTTTTTAAGTCATTCGTATCGTCTTATACATACTTCTATGACTGAATTAAAACTATTTATATTTAATATGTAACACAACTAAAATTCATAAAATATATGTATATTATTGTTTGATCTTGTATTTCAAAAATTAAAGTTTTTCATCAATGTATAAATAATATACAAAACATAAGTTACTTTTTTAAATATCTAAAGGCAAGTATGAATTATAAACATATATTAATAATAATAATAATAATAATAATAATAATACGCTTAGAGCTACCTATACAGCGAAAATAAAGTTAAAAACAGGATCGGACATTAAACTAATTAATATATTTTTTTCTTGATTATTTTATAAATTAATTCACGAAAGTTTAAAATCGACCGGAATCAGGAAAATAATTTTAAAAAATCCAATTAATTTTCTTAATTGTTTTCCTCGGTTTAACGATTATTATAGTTTAACCATTATAATTAACTGCAGCAGTGTTAGAAATGAGTTATTTCCARGAAGATGCTGGAATTCACRAGAATCATAAAAAAAATGCGGGAACRAATTATAGTATACACATTATACAKTGAAATAGTAATGTATTTTATTTTGAAATTTAAATTTTACAGAATTTAAATTTAAAAAAATAAACAATAATGCTGCTTAAAAATATAATAAACAAATCATCAAAACATTTATACCAGAACTATTAGAGTCAATAATATTGTAGTGGAATAAACGAGTCAATTGCAATTCACTGATCTGGTATTATATCAATTCAAAAAGAAAATAATAATGTAACAAGTAATTATAATCTTGTAGATACCAAATAACAATTTAAATTTACTTTTTAAATTTTTTATTACTTAAGACGTTGTTGGAAATCTAGTTTAATGAATACATAAAATTTATGARGAGGTAGCCTCTATACGACGTATGACATAGGAATATTTTGTAAGCGTTTCTAGAGTTAGGACCTCAATAAATAATCAACAAAACATTTGTTTTACTTTTAATTCGATTTGGATTTTAGTTCCCTACTCCAAAATCTAAATTAAAATATTTTATCAGAAGTTAAATAGTAAATAATTTTTAAAAGTATCCGTACATACAATATAGATAATTATAGGTAGGTACTCAAAGTACAATATTACTCTTTGTACCCATTCGATTAATAACTATACTGTACTAYAATAATAATATWGGATCGTAGAATGCATTTTGAAATTATTTTAATAATATTATGTAAAATAATTTAATACCAGTATAAAAAATACAGAAATCAAGAAATGTGACTGCCTATAGTAATATTTAAAGATAAATAACTGAAACGTTTGAAACATATATATTATCATATGTATAATAAAATTGTGTATCTCACCAATTCAATGTTTTATTAGTTTTTCAMATATATTCTAATGGTGCATACTACATATGTATTATGTACACCTAGGTATTGTTAACACTCAGCATATTAGCCATTCTCAACGTACGGATTAAAATGTACGATGTCGATGATGACAATCGTTACATTAGTGAAATCAGTCGCACCGCTTTGRCCAGTATCGTGCCTTTGATGGAGCCCTTTAATTTATCACCCATGAAAATCGGAAGGAACATCTTCTACAGGCAAATTAATGCTGTTGCTTTTTTTTTTTTTTTTGACATATTAAATAATAATAATATAATAATAATATTTATTGGCCAAAAGAAAAATACGATTTCAATAAGTATAGTCATTGATTATATACATAATATGGTTAGATGGCCCATCTCACCACTGAGGATAACCTCTTATCGGTGATATCGGTTAAGTTAGTATGTATTTATAATTTTATAATATTTTAGATATTTTGTAAGAAATTGCGTCATATTATCTGACTATAATTCAAAAGCCTAAATAGACATATCTTTACAACTATAGAAATAAAAGCATAAATTRCAATCAATATATAAATAAAATATAAAAAAGTACATCAAAAATAGATTATTTTTTTYAAGTTCATCACTAGGTATAAATGTATAATATATTATTTCAACCTATTGTGAAACGTGTGGTAGTAAATCTCTAAATTTTATACTTCATAATCATAATACGATCCAGATCTACAAATATTTCTTTTATTTCTTACCTTTGACCATTTAAAATATAGCAAAACGTGAACTACTATATTATATACTCCAACTGACCACCGACTGTTATTTGTCAAACATTTTAAAACTTATTTTTACATTACATGTCTTCAAACTTATGCAATCTTTAATACCTAGCTAAACTACAGTGATTATATCACAACTTATCACATTCTCGGTTTATTTTTTGTTAATTTAATGTACAAGAAATATCAATTGTATCCATAACATGATTGTCTATAATGTTTTTATATTTTTATTTTGGGTGGATCGATATCATTATTGAAAATATTTTATGAAAGGCATTTTTACCATTGACATAGAAATAATTCTATTTTGTAATCTTTAATTACTAATTTTCACTTATATGACATTATTAATAGGATTTCATCCGACTATTCATCGTTATACTTCAAATTTTTTCTTCAAAGTTTGCAAAGTATTATATAATGATTGTTAACATAATATTTTATTCCTAAATTTAGATGTATCCAGCAAGCAACTATTTATTGAAATGAGTCTGCGAAGTKGGCCATTGAAACATTTTAWGTGGTTGAATTTAAGTTTTTGCATGTAATWTGTTTTTATTCGCCTAATCTGATAATATTTATTTTTCTGTGGAGACAATTATTTAAAAAATTCTTATAAAAAAAATATTCATTATAATAATAATAAAAGCATGTCATAACACTCATAACACATTCAAAAATCACAGTTTAATAAATTACTGTTGCACAAATACAGACGAATGCTTTATTTAAATATTACAAATTATGACCTAAGTAGTAAGTACCTACTGTATTATATTAATATTCAATGTGAACAGCCATCAAAGTTTTTGGAACAATATTAATTCTACATATTATCGATACGATCGTCTTTCAATTATTGTTTAATATTTTTATATAAGTAATTAAAAACGATTTAGGTAATCCCACTAGAACATAAATATTACCATTTGTTTTCGGGTAACATCTTGCAATCCTACTAGGTACTCGTTTTTACGTAAATTTTACTCACTGTGACTGTGCCTGTATTTGATTACAATACAATAAATCTACATTTTTGATAGATTACCTATTATAGACATCATAATATAACATATCAAATTTTAGATTTTAAGTAGCCACTAGCCAGGGAGGCATTTAACAATATTTTTGAGCAATTCGTATTTGTACCGGACTACCTTTTAATCAATATTGTAGACAGTGTAGCTGTAAATGTTTTTGGGATATACGCCTAAATAGGGAATTATATGACACGTAGGGTGCTTAAGTCTTTCCCCCATACCTTCATCAAGTTAACGGGAATATAGATTATTATATTATATTTATAATRACGATATTATATTTTATAGTTATTAACTGATTATAATTAATACAAAGTGATTTTCAWTTATTGGTCAAAGTGATTGTTGTGAAAATCATATTTATTTGAGCTAAATCTACTTCTGAATCTAAAATATATTCTTCATTCTTAATTTTAAATAATTTCAACGCTCTAATTGTCTTTTTAAGAAATGTATCTGATTRTTTCCCTCGGAGTGATAAGAATAATAAAAAATCAGAAATTTTCAAATTATATATTTTATGGCTATCATCCATCAAATCACGATCTTATACTAGCGTATTTGTATAATTTTTTTTCTTTTACGCACATGACATTTTTAACGTTTTGAGTTTAGTTAAGTACATCGTATACCTTCGTATATCCTCCACTACACTACGCTGTACTTAAATTATTAATATATTCACTGCAGCACTACGCGTCTCTCGTATCCTTCTATATAGGTTTCCAAATGCCAACACTGTTATAGAAAGTGATCATACTACTATAGATATATTAATATGTATATGAAAGAGATAGATTATAGTAAAAAATTCTAGTCTACGTATCATATATAATRAATACCTATAAAATGTATGATAACAAATAAATTGAYGATTTTACACTCGTTAATGAACGATTTGTTATCAATTTTAAATATTAACAATACCATTAAATCAAAAATTGTATGTAGCCACACATTTTAACAAATGTACAGATGCACTTCTATGTATATTATACTTATATAACTCTAAATACCTAATCAATTATATTAAAGTAGAGAGTATAGAGTATATTAAAAACTTAACTTATACAAATATAAATTTGATCTCAAACGCACTTCTCGCGAATATTCTATTTGCAGAAAATATCAATGCATAATCACATTCAAAACAACACATTATTTCTTTGTGCTATATTACGGTAGTGTATATAGTTCCTTTGTTGACGAGCTTGTGAATAATTGACAACATGATAAAGTTTACAAGCAGTTGTTTAAACTTTGCATCGTCTACACGCGTCGTGTATAAAATATACCTTTTACTCATATTTTTATTTTTAATTCTTCTGCAAATTCAATTATTCCATTCAACATTATTTCATAAATARWTTYGAAGTAAAACAATATTATATATGCAAATAAATTTCAGATATAAAAGTCTTAGCGTATTGTCTACATTATTTTGCGCTAAATTATAATTGCAATAAAATATGATGAAGGTAAAGTACGTACTTCAGTTGGGATTACGGTTTAAGCCGAACGAGTCTAATTCACCGATAAGTTTTATGATTACATTATATATACACCGACAATTCATGGCATCGTCCAAATTGCTGTGCGGGACTCACTGGTTAGTCGTGTATCGTTTTGACGACGGTCGTAATAGTATAATACAGTATAAATACGATTATGTCAAAAGTCTTTTTATTGACTTTCGCCGCATACTTTCTGACGGCCTTGCACAATGGCGGCATAGGTTTGGCGACGCTTACCGGAGAAACAAATCACGCCAATACCAATGGCGACGCTTACCGTTTACCGGACACCACWGAACCGGTATCCTACGAACTGCGGATAAAGCCCGACATACAAAATAACTYGTTTAGCGGTCAAGTCGACATCGTTGTGAGGGCGAAACAATACACGTCCGAGGTGATCTTAAACTCAAAGGATTTGATCGTGTCGTCCGTGTCCTGGTTCCGGGACTTGAAGACAAACCGGAGCACGGCGATAAAGGATTACGTGTACGAACAGCCCAACGAACGGTTGGTCATCAAACTAGAAAAATTGATTTTGCCACCGCGGCTCTATAGGTTCACTGTCGTGTTCAGCGGTATCGTTAGAGACGACTTCACTGGACTTCATAAATATWACTACGACTCTGGCAATAGCTCGAGGTATTTATAATAAATGCGATTTGTACGCACGACGTACACTATTTATTTAATTACACCTAGATCCTATATGCCTTTTTTCGAACTACAAAATTTACCGTCTTCATATTTTTCTTGTTCTCCCTTCTCRCCCAGGTCACAAGTACCAACGGAAATAGTTTACCCATACACCTACATGTCACAATAACCTAGTCGAAAAACAGTATAATTTTATTAAATACAATTTAAATATTATAATCTTGTTTCCGTATAGGTGGATAGCTCTGACTCAGTTCAAACCAATATACGCTAGACGAGCATTTCCATGTTATGATGAACCGAAGTTCAAAACTCCGTATACGATATCGATCTCCAGGCAAAACCATCATTCTACGTTGTCTAATATGCCACTTAAATGCAGCGAATTCAAGTAAGTTTGATATTTCGCTTGGGCTCTCGTAATTTTTATCGAATGCGTCAGGTCAATATTCGTTGTACCTATACTGTTATCTCGTTACGTTTAAGCATAGTTACTATAACCTAATATGAAACGATATAAGTACAATACGTGTTTCATTTTTWTTTTTATTTTTTTAGTAGTAAAAATGATTGGGTTTGGGATCACTTTGAAACTACAAAGCCAATACCCACGTATTTAGTAGCTTTTATGGTGTCAGATTTCGACAAAAACTCTATAAACGGTGATAATATCGCTATGCATACGCGCAAAGAGTACATTGAATACACCAAATATATGATGGGGAAAGCACCAAAATTACTCAAAGGCGTGGAAAAGTTTACTCAAATATCGTACATGTTACCAAAGTTGGATTTAGTCGGCGTTCCTTTACTGAACGCCTACAGTATGGAGAATTGGGGACTAAATTCTTACGAGTAAGTTTGAAAAATCTGTTTAATAAAATAAAATGTTATGAAAAAAATAATATAATTAACATAATAGTATAATAATCATAACTAACGGTGCGTTGTAATATCTTACACGAATTATGGTGCATATAAATGAGCTATCACTATTATGAGTTGTTATAACAATATCGGTCAGGTGCCTATTCATATGTCGTTTGAAGCGAAAATCAATCTACGTTTTGTGTTACGTTGTTATTTTTGTTTAGGGAATTTTACGTGACTTTGTCGGACGAKTCACAAACAGAAGACAAAATAGAGGGATCCATGGYCATATTGCATGAGATCCTACACCAGTGGTTCGGCAACATGGTGACCACTTCTTGGTGGGACAACGAGTGGTTGAACTATGGAATTTGTAATTACTTGAACTATTACCTAACGAGTATGGTTAGTCTAGACTMGAGACTTTGGCRATTGAATATTAAATACGACCTTTTTCAAAACTCTGCATGACATACGCGTGATTTTTGCAGATCGAACCTGAATGGGATATGGAGGAATCATTCGTAGAGAACGTTCACCAGTACGCGCTGTCCTGGGACGAGTATAACGATACGCACCCTTTGACGTTCGCAGTRTCCACTCCCGAAGAAATCGTAAATGCTTTTGATACCATTGCATCCGACAAGAGCGCGGCGCTTCTCAGGATGTTGGAATGTGTGGTGGGCGAGTATTACTTCAGGATTTCGGTCGACAAATATCTCAATGATTATGCGTGAGTATACAGAAAACATAGGTAACGATAATGATATCGTAATTATTATTCATTTTATCATCGAATCCGTTCTTCTTGTAAGTTGCGTTGTATTTTTATTTGACTAACGCAAATTTACGATTTGAGATAGGTAGGTACTTAAAATTAATTCAGATGATCATACAGGAACTGAATATAAAGACAGTTACCCAGATAATACAATATTTTATTGCTTTTATTTATTTATTTAATATAATGACAGGCGTTAGCTTAATTTAAAAAGTCCCCGATTTACATATCATTATAATACAGGCAATACTCTAGATGAGGGCAAATAAGGGAAGAGTAAAGGTTTAATGTTAATTATATCAAAAACAGTTTACGATTTTAWTAGTTTATATACTCGTGCATGGTTGCTACAGATACACGGTAGCGGGACCGACAGACTTGTGGGAGACATTCGATTACGTGCTATACGACGCCGACTACAATATCGACGATGACGTCACGATCTATAAATATATGGATTTGTGGACGAACCAACCCGGGTACCCACTGATAACAGTGACTTACGCGAGTGATGGATTTTTCAAAGCATCGCAGGTAATAAAAAAAAAAATTAAAATCCAAATTACATTCACTGTATTATTGTGGCGTGCCCCTGCAGTGATGGTGGTACTTCAATAAAAATAATTGATGTAATAAATGTTTATCATCGACTGTATAATTTACTATTCTGATGATGATTCCCGCAGAAACGTTTTTCTCTATCGTATCCGCCTCAAACGACCGACGACATTAAATGGTTTGTAGGCTTAACGTACACCACTGAGGCCGAAATAGATTTCGAAGAGGTCACGCCAAGCGTTTGGCTGAAACCGACCGACGAGCAAGCAATAATGCCAGTGCCCGAAGATTCGGGATGGATAATTGTCAACATACAATCGTCCGGTAAGCATAATATGTTAATATGCAACTGTGTAACCTTACCTACGCTTAACATTTTATCATCTGATACAATAATACTAAACCGGTGATATTATATTATACGTCCGTCGTTGTATAGGGTTCTACAGGGTGAATTACGACGAAAAAAATTGGAAACTTCTTTTGATCCAGTTGGTAACTAATCCCGACCGGATACACGTGCTCAACAGAGCTCAGATCATAGACGACGTGTTCCACCTGTGTCGAGCAGAGCTGGTGCCGTACAATTATTACACTTCGCTGCTCGAATACCTGTTGATGGAGGACCACGTGACACCTTGGAACACGGCGGTGACCGGATTGTCGTCGATCATGGACGCCATCCGTCGATATCCCACAGAATATACAATGTTCCAAGTATTCCTTACTCTATTATAATATTATATATTATTCCATACAATAATAATAATAAATAAATATTATATACCTAYATTATAAACGTCCATTTCTCATAGGAATACACGAAAGGCTTGGCGGATATATTGTACGATAAATTATCAAAAAATCAGATCCATAACAATTCGACGAAAATCGGTTGGAGCAAACTATTGACGTGGACGTGTAACATGGGTAACTCGCGTTGCACAAAATCTGCATTAACGCATTTTAACGAATGGATGAACGGACACGAGTAAGTTAAATCATTTAAATCGACGGGGGGGGGGGGGKGTTAAGTCGAGTTTTGCGCAGAGTCCTACGCAATCCTTTGGGATTTATCACTTGCGATATCTGGAATAAAAACAATATGAAAACTCAATTCGATAAAATATTATAAGCACGTATGAAAAAAAAAAAACAGTGAGGCAAGTCAAATGGATCACTCTGTACACACACGTGTAGGCACGCATGTATATATGGACAAGTTGACAACGCGAATACACCTTAGTATCCGCCTTAATATAATATAGTGAGTTATTTATTGTTGTCTATATATACCATTTGCGAAGCACGGATATTATGTTACGTACCTACGGTGTGTTTTACACATTTTGTCGAGCAAAAACCTTATTTAATATGTACTGTATACACTTTGCACGCGTAGGATACCGCATTATGCACGCTGAAGCGATTGTGCACGTCGATAATACGAAGTGAATTAATATTTCAAATTTTATATTCAGTTTTGAATATTGTATAATAATATTATATAAATCAATAATAATTATGTTGTGATTTTTATAATCTGCGTAGTCTGCCGGCAAAATGTTCGAATTGTACTACGAACTATACCTATGAAAACAGTGAAGTTTCGTATTTTTTTTCTCAGCATTAATACTYGTATTATAAAACATACCTACAACGAGTAGGATGGTTTTTAAAAATATGAAAGAATTTATATTGATAAATATTGAATGCATATATTACATTCTTGGCGATACGATTGGTCGAGTGGTGTTGTTGTTACAGAGCTTTGACATTTTGTAATCCGATAACGGCCAATGTGTGATATATAGTATAGGTTTAACGTATAATATATAGAACCTATAGGTACAAGTACATACGTAGGTACGTTTAATAATGTTATTCTCGTTCACCTAAATTTCAACGAGTTTAATAAAACTTATCTCTCAAGAAAATATAATAGTCTACACACCTCAACATTTAAACTTGTTCAAATATCATGTTAAAATGTATATCGTGTTTGGTAATTCTGTAAATAGAACAATGCATTCGTATGATAAGGAGACATGTTTCACAACTTTGGGCATACAGAGGTGGAGAAAAATCTGAGCATTTATCTCTACAGCTCGTATTAAACGTGCTCATTTTTTTTTTTTAGTAATTTAATAAAGTCTTTTTTCCCCAGAAAAAAACTCTGGTGGCATTCATAATATGGCACCAAGTGTCGTTGATATTTTTTTCCACACGATGGCTATAGTTTCAATCTTGACCTCTAATCAATATTTGTTTCTTTATGTCCAAAAACAATGTTTAGTCCCAAACATACGCACTATATTGACGTGTTATTTTTAGAATACCGGTGGAAATGGAAGAAGCTGCATTGTGCATGGGCATGAAAAAAGACGATCTCTTAACCATGTCGAAAATTCACAAACTCTACAAGACCACGAGATCACCGTCACAAAAAAAAATAATTTTGAGAGCTTTGGCCTGCTCCAAAAATGTCCGAACGTTGTTGAGGTAATACTTGTTTTATGTTTATTATTATAATATTGTAACGATATTAATGTGTGAAACGGATTTGGTTATTAAATAAGGGGACACATTTTGCAATATTTACAGATTATGGCAGTTTAATTTTTCTTAGGCGAAGTAGATTAGTCAATTAATTTTAAGAGTTATTCATATAACGGTATATTTAAACAATTTTTTTTTGTATGAAAAAATTCCATTCTAGGTGACTAAAACCATATTTATATTAACTTTCAAAAGAAATTAAAGAATTCACTGTTATAAGAATTTTTAGAAAAGTTCATAGTTAAGAACAAAATACCGAAATCAGTTACTCCGCAAAATATCCGCCGCTCACTAACTACACAAAAAAAACCTCTTTTACTATTACTCGATCTGCGAGATGCATTACTTAATAATAAATGTATATACTATTGATAAAATATGTTGGAAATTTGTATTAATTGTGTACCTTTACGATTTTAAGTCACCTGGATATTATGCAATTAGACGTCGTGAATCGCGGAAGCTTACAGAACTTCAAAACAATTTGCGAGAACGTCGTAACCACACCGGAAGGTGTTACAGCGCTTATYGGTTTCCTATCAAGCAAACTGGACACTATTCGATGGACACCRATAGGCGATGACCTGAACAAGTACATCGCCGTCATGTACTCCACGTTAGCAACCAAAGTGGCGACGGACAACGAGATCACTGTTGTAAATATTATGATACATCCGTTTGACGATATTTTCGTCTTTTCCTCGCAATATATTGCAGTGAGTAATGCAGTGTTGATGATAATTATTGATTTTTTTTTACGCAGATGGACAATATAAGACGATCTGTCAAATCAGCCGACCTGAAAGCTGTGCTGGACAAAATTTACCAGAAAATCGAATCGAATTCGTTGTGGATGGAACGAGATCATAAAAAAATCATGAAGGCAGTAATTAAAATGTGAAGAAAACACTGAATTTTGGTTACATTTACGTATTATATTATAATCGTGTATAAGTATACCATATATATTTATATTATTAAAATACTTTTATACAAAACTACGTCATTCTGACTTATTTATTGTAAYTGTAAACTAGTCTGTATGGATTAACAATATTATTTAATATTACGCATACCTTTTTATGACCTTTAAGCAAGATATTAAGTTTTAGGCTTAAAAAAATGTTCAACAGTGAGTAATATAAGCATTTTATTAGAATATAATTATAACAAACTACAGTAAAACAGATTTCGATAAGACAAAAAAGCTAATAAATTATACTTTTTTTGCTATTAAACAATCAAAAACGTATAATATGTACATATAAATCATATTTTCGTATTCCTAAGGTAATTCCTCAACATTGATGATTGTGTGTTATCTGAAGTTTACACAATTTGAATAAACAACCAGCAATAACGTTAAACCAAATTCAATAAAACATGGACAGATGTATGTAGATCMTATTAAATAAAACCACAATATATTACATACTTGGCAATAAACTATTAACAGATAAAACTATTTACGTGGTTACTAGGACCCTAGTTAGTATAGATTACTAAACCCTTAGCCATAATATTGAGTACTATAATCGTRCCTATTGGAAAATTGCAATGCTACAATATTGCGGTATACATATTCGTGTACCGGAAGTAGTTAGGTAATAAACTAATAAACGTTTACTGAAACATACGTGTATGATGCACTTTGGAACTTAGGCTAATAAAATATAATTATATAGAGTCATAAAGACTAAAACGTGTAATAAACACGCTTTAGTCGCGTTGGTACGTTATATCATATCATACCATATCATAGGAAGTGCAAATAGTTGTTCACATAAAAATAGTCTTATTTTTGCAAAATAAACAAACAAAAAGGCAACAAGTGTTTTATCGAAACGATAAAGTCTAAGGATACGCGAAATAAAACAACAAAAATACATTTARTTATTAGGTATTGCCGTAYGGGAACATCGCTAACGTTGAGTTAATGACGTAAGTGAAACAACTGTAATCTATAGAACTTTTTCGATTGTAATTAAAATTAATTTTCCATTTTATTTTATTTTATCTTATCKTTGTCAATGAAAAGTTATTTACTAATAATATAATAGTATAACACAGTATAGGTATCTATTGCATGTTGTTTGTACTACGATCATTGCCAACTTGTCGATTAAGACAAATGGGGGGGGGAGGGAGGGGGAGGGGACAAGAATGTTATAAGTGTTTATTTTTTATTTTTTTTAATACGTCGACGACTGCGCGGATCATAATACTTAATACGTACATACGCAAACGCAACACGCGCATTGGTCCGATATTCGTTTCGGCGGATCTGAACACAAATAAAACAAGGTACACGTCAGACGTCTTAAAAATGTTGGACACAAGACCAAAAGTGCGCTGACCACGACATAAAATAAAAAATAAAAAATAAGGTACACGTCAGACGTCTTAAAAATGTTGGACACAAGACCAAAAGTGCGCTGACCACGACATAAAATAATAATAATAATAATAGTAATAATAATATGACGATAGTATAATATAGGTAGGTTACACACATATAACACTACGGTGTCATGTCCATTCGTCCAGACGCGAGCGCACACACACACACAAACACACATACACACACTTATCCTATAAAAGCGTGCGCAGCACCTTCCCCATAAATACCTTTAAAATATTTTTATACATTTTTTCCTTTCTTTATTTTTCTATTTTTCTTTTTTTATTTCCTACACGTCATTAATCATTATTCTTCTCGTTAAAACTTCTGTCAGTCCTCTACTTCTCCACTCCGGAGCTCTCCCTCCCACCGTTCCCAATCAACATCCTTGATTCCCGGAGTATTCTATAATATTATCATCTATTCCGTAACAACGTTTTGATTTTTTTCGTTTTTTACAACACGGCGACCGGCGACGAAGACGTCTGTCCGCTGTTGTGTACGTAGATATAGGTATAGTACCTATGTAGAACGTACTATGGGTTGCGTTCAAGGTACCTTCACCTACCTATTATAAATGTGTATTATTATTATTATATGCTATTGTATAACAATATTATTGTTGATGGCCGAATCTTATCGCCAGGTTTACGGGTGCGATGAAAACCAATCCCGTYGGAACATCTACGATACGACGGTCACTGTGTATTATTATTATTAATATTGAAATGTGTCGGACGCACATTGGGTGAATTTATCATGTTATATTATTATGTAATATTATAGGATCGACGGRRAACATAATATTATATTGCATTTTTCATATTTTATACGCATGTCCATTATTTGAATCACTGTGCCTAAATATTGTGTAGGGACTTAATATGTACCAGCTATATATTATATACGTGTTGTATTTTATATTATCATCCTATACAAAATACAAACAGCGGTATAACTACCATCATAGAGTAAATCAAGGCAGTGTCCCAGGGTTGCAGATCTCAAAGTGTCGTCAAATAATTTAATGTATTGATGTATCTATCAGTAAATATTCAAAATTATACGAGTTAAATTCGTTCACAATCACAATAAGTAATATCAGTAATATTAAATAGAATAACAATAAACAGTACAGGTATGCAATGGGGTGAAAGACGTTTGGCGTCATACTTCTCTTTTTTTTTTATTGTTTTTGGCGCATAATATATTTCTTTGCATAATATATTTGCCTTTTATACAAATAACAAGCCTATTAGCGTTACCTATAAGTCATCACGTGGGATTGGCTAGTCTTTCAAAAATATTGATTTTTTTCAATTTAAACGTCTTCATGTTATTTTGTGTGTAACTTTCAAAATTTCTGATCAATTCTTCTTATTTTCATGTACCTAGTTAGTTATTTTTTTTTACCACAAAACTTTGTCCTAATTTTTATTTTTATTTTATTGACACATTTTTATTCACTGCAAAACCTAGTATTAATTTGTAAATTGTTTTATTTAATTAATCAAATTTATTGCCCTATAGTAAGTATATTCACATTAAAAAAATAATAATAATAATGTTCCGTGTATATTTWGTATTTTTATAGATATTATATTTGTTTGCGAAAGAGCCGCACTATTTTTTAATTATTTTTCACTGTCATCACATCACATCACACATACACACACACACATCTAACATACTCGCACACATACACATATTTGTGTTTCGTATGAAAACGAGCGATGTCCGAGGGTAATCATTGTTATTTGAAGCTACATGCTGCGGCCCATCCTATGTTCGTAAAAAGGCCTTGTTTATTAACTGCCCCGGGGCCCTTTCTCGTCTAGCTATGCCACTGAATACAAGTCAATAACTCGTGTGCGTAACGATACAGTTAGAACGATACAATTATAATTCCTGCACAACTGAATGTGTGATGTATAAATTACAGAAGCGATAATTATTATTATTATTCTCCTGGTCGATTTGAATTAAATAAAGCATAGTAGCTGTTTATTATTGTGACGATGCGTCATGCGTGCGGATATTATATCGAGTAAACGAGATCACGTCGTAAAAAAAGGTTAATTTTTTCCACACTCAGATTCATATGATTCAGTACTATATAATATTATTTATGAGATATGGCTATAGTATAMTATACATAATTTAAAAATTTATGTTTTCCTACTGGACATTGCCTGCCGTATTTCATTGATTTGCATTGGACGTCGTATATATTAGGTATAGTTGAAATAATTACATAATATTAATCTATTAACAACTAAAAATTACGTTAATACCACTACCTCTTTTTTTTAAATAGTTATAGGTACTTTATTTTGTTATTTATGTGAAATAATTAGAATTCAATAATTTAGACTTAGGTCACGTAAAACATTTAATATTTATTTGGTATATCCATTCAAAGCATATTATACTGATACAACATATCATATTATACAGGTACATAGAAGAAACAATTAAAGTAACAATTAATATTTAATCACCACGAATAAATTAAAAAATTAAAATTGAGAGCTGAAATTTAAAATTAAATTATTTACGTTTGGTCAATCATGAATAATTTTGTAATTTATAGCTAAAAATATATATTACTGTCCGACGTCCGTTCTTAATTGACAAAAACATAGCTGTCTTAAAAATAAGTGGCACAACTGCACAAGTATTCATAATAATAATAATAATATTAATTTTTTAAATTAATCTTATAATCTTACACCATTGACTGTATATTTAATTTATAACGTAGGTTAGTATCGTATACMTAACTATTAATACTTCTAGACAATACCATAGTTTATAAATACTCGTAAAATTYTAATAATATGATATAGATCTTATTGATCCTACTTCAAATAAATACGGTGAAATACAWCATGAAAAGCAGAGAAGTTTATTCTTTGTAATATGATAATATCATGGGCATATATAATAAAATTGAATTMTCTTGATATTTGTTTAACACAAAATCATCCAAAAATGTAGGTACTATCATAACTAAATATCTCTTTTATTTTTTGCCAATACTTACCTATTTTTTTCATACAAATACAGAATGAAAAAAATTAGATAATCAATTATATTTTAAATCTGTTGATGACTGAATTTAATATTATTCAGTGGATTTAATTATTTAATATATAATTGTACGTTTTAACAACATCACTTTCTTGAAATAAAACTATTTTTAGTTATAGGGGACTTATATCYTTTGTCCAAAAGGGCTTAACATTTTACAACATTCGTTACTTTGAAATAACAATGAACATTATTATGATTTATAAATATTGACACAAAAGTAAAAGAATATTGCTTTTTATTTCATAATCTCAAGAGGATGTATTATTCGAATATTACAGTGCGGAAGTCTTAAAAAAAAAATGCAGTGGTTTTAATTTTTTTTTAAAGAATGTATTCTCATTCGATTTGAGAGATATAGTTGAACGAACGCCAAAGCAATTTACTTAAATGACTTTTGGTATTGTCAATATTATTATAATTGTAATGGTTTGACCAGAGATCTACTGAATACGCACTTAGACAGCAAATATCTGAACAGATAAATCGGTATTATATACTGGACAC